TGGTGAACAATAACCCCTTTTCCTGCCCCATTCATCTCCTTTCCTCAAGATAAAGCTGGAGCAGGTTCTCTAACAGCTAAGAAGCCAAGGTATCTCTAGAGAGCAATCCAGTGTGTTGCTTTCATTTTAAGTCACCATAACAACAAAACAAGAACGTAGGCAAGATAAAAATATGAGTACTGCTTCTGCCAGATCGCTGCTAGAATGCTCATTGACATGTGGGATAGGAAGAGGAGAGTACCCCTCCATTAATAATAATAATTAGGAGACTAGGGGCAGCTAGGTGGCAAACTGGATAGGGCACCAGCCCTGGAGTCAGGAGAACTGGAGTTCAAATCCAGCCTCAGACACTTACTAGCTGTGCGACCCTGGGCAAATCACTTAACCCCGATTGCCTCCCCCCCCCAAAAAAAAAAGACTAGCTAGCATTTAAATAGAGTTTAATGGTTTGAAAAGCACTTTATATGTGTTATCTCATTTGATCCTTACAACAATTGTAGGGGCTATCATTATTCCTATTTTACAAATGAGGAAAGTGAGGGTGAGAGAGGTTAAGTGACTTGCCCAGACTTACACAGCTAGAAAGTGTTTGAGGCAGGATTTCAACTCAGGACTGCCTCTAATTTCAGCACTCTACTCATTATACCTACCAGCTGACATTAACAATTATTTCTTTATCTCTACTGGTTCTTCCCTGGAAAGTAGAAATCTGGCCCCAAGGAAACAAAACAAAACTCATGATAGGTACATTTTAATTGAAGCAGGAGTTCAGAGCCCAAAGGGGAAAGGTTGGGACACTAAGTAACTATTGCTAGTAGCTGGTCCAGTATTGAGATGAAGCCTGGCAATAGGGCCTCAGGAAAGACAGCAATTATCTACCCAGCCAAGGAAAATAAAAGAAGGGTTTTTCCTACCCCACCCCTGCTGGAGACACCCCATCTCTACCTGATCTTTCCCTTTGTGTTTCTTCTCCTACTCGGAGAGAAGAGGAGGGGGAAAAAAAGATGGGTACATTCACAGGAGAAGGGGAAGGGACTGCATTATGTGCTTCTAGCAAATTAAAACATTAAAAACAAAATTATGCATAAAATGTTTACTAGTTTTGGTTTCATTCAGTTTTTATTAAAAAAAAAAGTCCTTTTAAATACAATTGGTAGGGGATGTGGTGCAGCCTGGTGGCACAGTGGATATAGCACTGGGTCTGGAGTCAGGAAGACCTGAATTCAAATGTGACTTTAGATACTTACTAGCTGTGTGACCCTGGGCAAGTCACTTAACCCTGTTTATCTCAGTTTCCTCATCTGTAAAACAGGCTGGAGAACAAAATGCAAACCACTCCAGTAACTTTGCCAAGAAAACTCCAGATGAGGTCAGCAGGAGTCAGACATAACTGAACAACAATCATGGTAGGGGACGCTGTGACCAGAGCCTGGTCCTTTTTGAGCTGCCAGGTACTAGAGGATATGGCTGTCACTAAAGCACTCTCTCCCTTGCTGTTAATTCCCTTTTCTTACCTACCTTGTCTAGGAGTACCGTTTATTCAGTCTCATTGGCCCTTCCCCACCGATCTGTCATAGCTTTCCTTCTTCAGGTGCTGTGTCAATAAAGTCTTTATAGGTTATAATCTTAGTAGTACTCTCTTGGCACACAGCTTGCAGGTATCACCACAGAGATGAGAACTCAGGGGGATGGATGCCTGTGGGAGATTTCCCATGATCCCACCTTCATTTTTCCAGCGTTTTACCTTGAGCTAAGGGACTTATGGGAAAAAGAAGAAGGGCAAGAGGTACCAAGAAGACAGAAGAAGTCAAACAAGGGACGTATTGAGATGCCATGGATTATCAAAGGGAGTACCAAGGGACCAAGGGAAGTCCCCAGTTGGGGCAGCGTGGATGCTACACAGACTACTCCAATGTAGAACTTGCCCTAAAGAATCCATGGTGGGGCAGCTAAGTGGCTCAGTGGATAGAGCACCGGGCCTGGAGTCAGGAGGACCTGAGTTCAAATCCAGCCTCAGACACAAAACATTAGCTGTATGACCCCAGTCACTTACCCCCATTGCCTAGCCAAAAAAAAAAAAAAAGAATCCATGGAGCTTTACAGGAGACTTGTACCATCATTTCCTTCTCCCGTTTCCCTCTCTTCCAAGAAAGTCTGTTGCATGGGAGGTCATTTACTCACTTTGAACCTTGTGCTTCCCTCTGGCCCAAGAAGGATTTTTATTGCTGTTCACTCATTTCAGTTACATTTGATTTTGGAATGGTTTGCCATTCCCTTCTCCAGCTCATTTTACAGGTGGGAAATTGAGGCAGAGTGATTGACTTGCCCAGAGTCACACAGTAAGTTTCTGAGGTAGGATTTGAATTCGGGAAGATGAGTCTTCCCAACTCCAGGCCTGGCACTCTACCCACTGTGCCACCTTACAGATTTACCTTTGTTTTAACAGTCTGCTTTGTTTCTTAAGCCTGTAGATATGATACGGCTGGATCAACAGATTTGCCAACTATTTGTACTCCTAGACAAATAGGGGATGCTCTTCCAAAGTGGAGTAATGGGGGAAAACCTCAGATGGGATCTCAACTACTCTGTTGCCAGTGACTACTGGTAAGGGCTCATATGTGACAAAGAAACATTTATTTTAACAACATCCAAGAGCAGAGAAAAAATAGGATTAGGCACTCAGCAGGAATGCACAAAACTAACCGGATGGCAGTGAGTAAAGCCAGCATCTGCCATTAATATATTTTTCAATAGGTTTGAAAGGAAACCACATCCCTGGAAGGGAGGGAGATAGGAAGAAAGTCCTGCCCTCAAGGAAGGCGCAAATCCTGGGAAGCCCCGCCCACACAAAGGTGGGAGGACTAAAGCGTCAACCTAGCTTTTCTACTCACCAATGCAGCAAACGGTTTCATTAGCCAGCAGTTTGGTTGTATTAAATGAAAAGGTGATAACATGAAAGCACAAAAGCCAACTCAATCCCTCACTTTCGCCCCATCCCCACCTCCGCCCAGGGTGGAACTTCACTTTTTGGAGCCTCTGATTCAGGGTGAAACAGACAGTTCAGGAGCTTATGGCAAACCTCCCAACTCCTGCCCCCATTTTAGAAGGGATGTTTCAGTCGTGGTTCTCACCAGGTTGATGGCTGGACGAGAGATTTCCAGCGTGTCACTTTTATGGCTGCAGGAATCCCTCCATCCTGCTCCTCCTGGCTCTCATCTGCTCATCTGGACAAGAATTCATCATTCTGCTGGATGCACTAAGGTCTAAAATACCTCTGCTGTTCTCACTGTCTGTTCTGTTACTAGTGGAGTGGGGAGCTTCCACGCTTAGCACACAGGCATGGTGAAGATGATGAAAGAGACCTTCCTCACTGCTGCCATGCCGCCACCTCTCCATAATCTCGAAAGTCTATGCACCCAGGGACATCCCAAGCCATCATTTCGCCTAGGATCTCTGGGATGTGTGTCCTCACTCCCCTCAAACCCTCCTGAGAGATGCAGTTGGGGGGGGTGAAGTGTCCAGACACAGGTCAATTATGTAAATAAGCTAGGGAGAAAGCAAAGGGAGGGAACACAGGGAGAGAAGAGTTGGAGGGCCAGGGGAGCCATAACAAGGTGGATGCCATAAATCAAACTTCTTTCACCATTGTACTTAAGGCTCACCATGATTCCAAAAGGTAATGAAACAGATGTCTAACTAGATGGAGTTATGAGAATTTGGCCTCTGCTACTAACTTGTTTTGTGACCTTGGAAGTTACTTCACCTCCTCAGGCCTCAACATCCTCATCTGTAAAATGAGGGGATCAGAGTAGATAGACTGTAAGGCCTCAGGTCTATCTTTTCCTGGTCAACAATTGTTATGTTAGCTTGTGAGCCATATGAGGGCAAGAACTGTGCCGTATATAAGCTTTATATACTTATATAAACTTTATCATTCCCACCTTTGGCCTAAGCCAGCATAATGCTCTACACAATAGGGGCTTAAATAAATGCTTGTTGAATAAATGTTGGGAATGCTGGTTGTTCTCTACCCATCCCCCGCCTCTCAAGAATGTAATCTCTTCCAGCTCTGCCAGTCACTGAGCATATAAGTAGCTTCACACCCAGCAAGGTCTTGGAGGTTAGTCAAAAAATATTTTTAAAGTGCCTCTTGTGTGCCAGGTGCTGTACTAAGCACTGGGGATGATAATAATAATAATAATAATAATAATAATAATAATGATAATGATAATAATAATAATAATGATAATGATAATAATAATAATAATAATAATAATAATGGCAAAAGACAGTCTCTGCCTTCAAGAAGCTTTCAAGCTTGTAAGGGGGACAACATGTTGTGCTAGATCTATACAGGATTAGGGGATGGAGTCGGGTTTACTGTTTTCTCCTGATTTGTTTCAATAGACTTAAGCCCAAGGTGGACCAGAGGATGTTCTATAGAAATTTCAGGTCACACCTTTCAGCTGTCAGTCATCATTTATCAGGAAGATGGAGGGAGGGGGTGTGAACCCCTATTTTTTGCATTTCTGTGAATACGCATCAGAGTTCTTAAACACTTGGAAATGACTTAGGTTCATTTTGGAAAAGAGAGAAATTTCTAATCCTTAAGGCGCAATGGAAGCATAAATGATGATGATGAAAACCAACATGCAAATACACCGCCCTCCTAGGCGCGGGAGCCCGGGAGTGCGCAGCCTCAAAATAGCGAGAATCAGCTTCCTCCACCCTGTCTCTCTCGCGGGTCCAGGAGGAGAAGTGAAGGGGTGGGGCCTGATGCCGGGGGGCGGGGCTGTGGCCTTGGCGCTCCTCGGAGAGGTATCCATTCTCAGCAGCAAGGGCGGAGTGGGGGTGTGACGAGCTCAGTCTCTCTCCAATCGGGGAGGGGGGCGGGGCTCCGGCCTCCTGTTCCGGGGCGGATCGCGGGCTTGGCGGGTGGTGAGGTCCTAGTGGCGGCGGGCGCGCGCGGGGGTGAGTAAGTGGTTCCGGTGTAGGCCGCCGGCAGTTCTGTGGAGTCCGGGCCGATGCGGCCCGTGGGCTCTGCCGTCCCTGGAGTCCGCGGAGCCGAGTCTCGGACGGGCCAGTGAGCGCTGGGAGTGCGCTGGCCTGGTCCAGCTGGGCCGGGCGTGAGGCGGCAAGGCCGCGCGAGCGGAGCCGGGCCGGGGATGGGGTCGGGGCGGGGACCGGGATCCTTGGGCATCTCGTGTGGCCGGCAGACACTTCTGTAGCGCTTCTAGGTTTGTGAAAGAGGACTAACAACGTTACCTCGGCAGCATTCCCATTCTACGGGTTCTCCAAGGGATAGATACAGAGCTGGAAGGGACCTCAGAGGCTTTCAAGCCCCACTCCTCCTTTTACAAACGAGGAAACTGAGGCGCAGAGAGGTGAAGTGACTTGCCCAAGTTAACAGTCACTGACAGAATTTGAACCCAGGCCCTCTTCCGTATGTACCATGCTGCCTCCCTGACATAATAGTGTCTGAGGCTGGATTCTTCCCAACCTCAAATCTAATGCTTTTTCTGCTTTACCACCTGACTCTAAGAGCCCTGGATTTGGAGTTTACTTCCCGGTTCTGACACTAGTTGCATGCTCTTGAGCAAATTACTGAATCCCTCTGAGCCTCAGTTTACTCAACTTGAGTAAAGAAGTTGGATGAGAAAAGCTCCCTCTCTGGGTCTTGATTTGCTTATTGCTAAAATGAAGGTGGACTAGTTAACCTATGTGAGGTCCCTTCTGGTTCTTAAGTTTATTTCTCTTCTCACTCTCAACCTACTTCCAGTGAGACCAAATTGCTCCTCAATACCAGAGAGCTTAGTGTCAGACCTGAATCCTCCAGGGGTCAGAATCACATCTCTAAAACACGGTTTACTCATCTGTAAAGTGGAAATGATGACATCCATGCTCCTTCTCACAGAATTTATGGCTGGGAGGTCATCTTGTCCAACCCCCTCATTTTTACAAATTTTATGAACTGAGGCCCAGAGAGGAGTTAAGTGACTTGCAAAGGGTAATAAGTAGCACTACTAGGATTTAAACTCAGATTGTCTGACTCCAAATAGAGTACTCTTTTCACTGTGTACATTTTCCCCTTGATGGTTGTGAAGAAAGTGCTTTGTGAACCTTGAAGCAATATTAAAAAAATGTATGTAAAGAAAGATACATCACACAGATGGCTATGTTCCAGTTTGTGAACCAGTGTGCCGCTTCAGCCATAAAGCCCTGGAACTTGAGGATTGGAACTGGGAGAGCCCTATCTAGTATGGAACTCCTTATGTCTCCCTGCTTAGGACCACAAAAAGGAAAAGATGTAAAGGCCAAAAGAGACTGTACTGTGGTAAAAGGAAAAGCCCTATGCTAGGATTCAGGAGATCAGAGTCAAATGCCTGAGCTCTGTCACCAGTAAGCTAAGTCATTAATATTCTGGAAAGGCTGAGGATGGTTTTTGAATCCCATCTCTGACACTGACTAGCTACATGACCTTGTGCCAGTCACTTTACTTCAGTTTTCTCCTCTATAAAATGAGAGGACTTGACTAGATAACCTCTGAGGTACCTTCTGGTTCTGTTTGTGACCATAAACGTATCACTTCATCTTTCTGGGCCCTGGTTTCCTTGTTATAGAATGAGGAAAGTGCTTTGAAAACCTTATAAATGAATTATTGTTATACTAAGTTACCTCACTTATTATTATTTTCTTTTTGGAGCTGAATTAAATTCCTGGACCTTTTGCTATAACTCCACAGCTCCTGTGGGATCATCAGTTCATAGGCTAAGGACCACTAAGCCAAGAGCTTGATCAGAATGGAATAGGGTTAGGTGTTAGGTATTGAAGATTTCTTGAAGGAACTAGACTTTAAGCCAAGTCCTCAAGGAAGTGGCAGACATGGGTTGGTGGAGTTAGGGATGGACCTGAGTGAAGATGGAAACTAGCAAATCGTGTGCCAATAATGCCAAATTGATTGACTACAGCTGCAGAAAGAAGGCTTCGTATGAAAAAAATGATGAATGAAGCTAGAAATTAGGGAAGGCCAGCTAGCTAATAGAGGGCCTTGAATGCTAGGCTGTGGAATCTTAGACATTTGTAGATGCAAAGAATCATCAGGATAATTTTTTCCCCAGGCTTTTCATTTTATAAATGAAGAACACTAGCAATTTTTTTTTTTAAGCAATTGGGGTTAAGTGCCCAGGGTCACACAGCTAGTAAGTGTCAAGTGTTTGGTCTGAGGCCAGATTTGAACTCAGGTCCTCCTGACTTCAGGGCCAGTGCTCTATCCATTGTGCCACCTAGCTGCCCCTAACACTAACAGTTTTTAAGTGGCTTGCTGAAGGCAACATAGAGTGATAGTTTTAGAACAGGAAGGGACCTTAGAAGTTATCTGGTCCAATTCCCTTACTTTATAGATGAGGAAATTGAGACCCAGAGAGGTTAAGTCATTTCCTCAAGGTCACATAGGTAGTAAGTGGCATAGCATAGGTGGAACTAGATCTCAGGTCTCCTGGTTCCTCGTCCATTTCTCTTTCCAGAAATATATGTGATTATAATTAATGCCATCATTTTGTAAACTTGCATTGAGCCACCTCAGTTTGAATCAAGTTGTGAAGTAGAAAAGTGCTCTTGGCCCCGGTTTCCCCCTTCCCCTTCATCAGAGAAAAACATAGATATTTTTATTGAATGACTGTTTTCATCCTGTCATTAACACTCATTCAGACAGCTAGGTGTCCCAATGGATAGAGCCCTGGGCGTGGAGTCAGAAGTCCCTAAGTTCAAATCTAGTCTCAGACACTTCCTAGTGATATGACCCTGGGCAAGTCACTTACCCACTGCTTCAGTTTCCTCATCAGTAAACTAAGGATAACGATAGCACTTACTTCCCAGGGTTGTTGTGAACACCAAATGAGATATTTGTAAAGTGCTTTGTGCTGTATAAATGCTAGCTATTATTATTAAGTCATCAAACATTTAATAATGTTTGTTTAATTGAATATAAACACCTACTAAGTGCAGTGAATACGGTCCCAAATGCTGTAGGCAATACAAATGAAAAAGAATGGTCTCTGCCCTCAAGAAACTGATAGTCTTGCCAGATGATATTTTACCCAATTTTAAGCTGTTTTCTCCTAGAACTGTCTTTTTACCTCCCATGTGCCTCCCTGATACTGTGTATTAAACGAGGCTAGTGGTGAGCAGGTACGGAGGCCTTTTGAAAATATACAGTAACCAATTTCTCCTTTATTTAGGTGCAGTGCTCCCAGGGCAAACACCTACCCTAGGACCTCGGCCATGTTTTCAGAGCAAGCTTCAAAGAGGGCCCACACACTCTTGTCCCCCCCATCAACGGAATCCTCCACCTTTGCTCGCATACCTGTGACAACGTACACCAACTCTTCCCAGCCTTTTCGTTTGGGGGAGCGAAGCTTCAGCCGGCAGTACGCCCACATCTATGCCACCCGCCTTATTCATATGACGCCCCTCCTGGTGAACCGGGCTCGGCAGCGTTGGAGTGAGTGGTAGAAGTTTGGGGAATGTTTTTACTCATTTGTAAGTTTAGGGGTAGGTAGGTGGCATAATGGATAAAGTGTAAGACCTTGAGTCAAGAAGACATGAGTTCAAATCCTGCCTCAGATACATACTAGCTGTGTGACCCCAGGCAAGTCACTGTTTGCCTCAGTTTCCTCATCTATAAAATGGGGGTAAAAATAGCACCTACCTCCCAGGATTGTTGTGAGGATCAAATTAGATAGTATTTGTAAAGCTCTTAGCACAGTGCCTGGCATGTAGTTGGTACCATACATGTTAGCTATTAGTTATTATTATGTTTTCACTCACTAGAAAGTGAGTTACTGAGAGAGAAACAGAGACGTTCTTTGTTTATGTAGCCTTTTATTGTAGTCTTTCATTGTAGTGATTCCACAATTTGCTAGCAAAGGGAGATATTTTTTCTCATCTTCTGCTGGATGTTTTCTTTTTTCACAGTTTTCCTTTCCCCCTGATTTTCTTCTCTGCTTCTCCGTCCACACATACTTGTAAGGCATAGCTCTCTTCTCCATTAGCCACAACTGCTTTAATCTTTCTGAAGGAGCTGGTCCCTATGTCTCACGCTATTTCTGCTCATATTGGGTGCTCCTTCCCTACAGCTTCTTTTTTCTCCATTTAGAGGTAGAGGGGTAGAATGGATTATAATTGCATGATTCCATCCTCATTGGCTTTGCTTTATATACACTTCTAGGCTCTACTATTGTAACTATTTGTATGTGAGTTTCTTTCTTTGTATTTTTCATATTAATATGTTTAGATTCATTTTCTTTCCTAAGCCTGAATTCCTTTGGATGCTTGTTTGCTGGGTTGTATCAAGAAAGCCTCTTTGACCCAGTGTTTTATTCTCCCTCTGTATGACATGGATTGTATCAGATAGTTACCATGCCATGTTTTCTGTCCTAGGGCCAGTTCCTCTGTAGGCTTCTTTAGCCATTATTTTCAATTTTTGAATTTCAATTTTCAATTCAGTTTAACAATAACAGTTTAACAAACACTTTTTCAGTACCTACTGTGTATAAGAAGAGAATACAAAGATAAATAAGATGCAGTCCATCCCCACAAGGACCTTGCTGTCTAGTAAAGGAGCTGATATTTGTAAACCTTACCCCCCCAAAGAAAAATACAAAAATGTGATAAATGCTGTAAGAAAGGTATAAAGTATTATGAGGTTACCAAGTAAGGCAAGATCATTTGTCCTGAGGCTAGGGGTGGGGGAGAACTAGGAGGGTAGGGAAGCAGAGAAGGCTATTTAGAACAGGAGGTATTTGAGCTAGATAGGATTTCAGCAGTTAGAATTGAGGTTGGAGAGAATACATTCCAGCCATAGAAAGTGTCATGAACAAAAGGAAAATTCAGGATGAGTTATGAGAATAACATCTAGTCTACATTGGTTGTAGTATACTTTTTGTAAAGACCAGTAGTATGGGATAAGGGTGGAGGAAAAACAGGAGCAAGATTATGTAAAGCCTTAAAGTCCAGGCTAATGATTGAGGACTATATTCCATTGACAATGGAAAATTTAAATGGAGAGTCATGTGATCCATCTTGGCATTTGTGTGTTTTATGGATTACAAGGATGGGAGACCCTTGCAAACAAAATGTATTAATGGTCTAAATTCAGGTGGTTAACAGGGGGATTATTAAGGATGTGAAGGCTTCAAGAGACAGAATCAGTAGGACCTGATGACTGGATATAGGAAGAAGGAGGTGTTAAAGATAACTCAGATTTCAAGTATGGGTATCTGGGAGGACAATGGGTGCCATTATCAGAAATTCTGCAGTTAGCTACAAAAAATAAGAGCCTGGAACTTAGGAGAGAAATCAGTTTGGGGAATCACCTGCATAGAAGTGATGGTCAGAGTGAGTACATGAGATTGCTGAGGGAATTGAAGATTGTTTACATTTAGGGAATGGATGGAGAAAGAGTAGACAGGCTGTTATCAGAGGTAGAAGTAAGCACAGTGCCTCAGAAGCTAGGAGAGAAGAGAGATCAAGGAGAAAGTGATTATCATCATGGCCATTGGTTTCGTACAGTAATAGGTACTTAATAGGTACTTTTTGAATTAAATTGGTCTCTTTTGAGAGAGCAACTTATAGAGTGGTGAGAGTAAAGCTAGATTATAAAGGGTTAAGGGATGAATGCATGTTGAAGTAGTTAAAGGGCAGTGAATGTAGACACTTCTTTCTAGAAGTTTGTCAGTGAAAGGAAGGATAGAGATGGGAAAATAGCTTCAGGAAATGGTTTTGTTTTTAGTTTTGTTTTTAAAAGAAAATGAGGACAAGGACATATGTAGGTGTAGGAAAGTAACTGGGAAAGAAAAAGGGGATGACTAGTGGAGCAAAGTCTGGAGGAAGAAGAGAAGGATGTAATACAAGGGTACAAGTATAGGGGCAATGCTTTGGCAATGAAGAAGGCCTTCTCTGGACATTTAGTGATGTTTTGAGGGATAGAGGAAGAAAGTTGAGGTCACACTGGCTGATCTTGATCTCAGTAAAGTAGGAAAAGATGTAGTTAACCTGCTTAGGGATGAGAGTGGGCAGAGGTTGGCATAAGGGACTGAGAAGAGTGGAAAAGAATAGTTGTTATGGGGAATAATGCAATAAAAAAATTCAATTTCATCAACATTTATTAAGCCCTTACTATGTGCAAGATGTTGTGTTTGATAAGAGATGATTTAAAGAATTGCCACTCAGTAGTGAGGGCCTAGATGAAGTTAGAAAACATTTGTAGTAGACTTAATCAGCTTAGGGTTTTGTTTTTTTTTTTTAACTACCTCCTCTAGCTATGCTTGGTGGTAGGGAAGAAAAAGCAGGAAAAAAAAATGGAGTTACCCAAGGCTGGGGGTTTAGCAGAGAGAGCGTAGCAGGTAAAGGAGGCAGGGGATTCTAAGGTGGTGGCAAATGAACTCTTGAAATACTGACTGCACAGTCCAATGTAGGTAGGGAGACAAGTAAAGCTAATGATGGACTGGAAGTATAGTAATATATCAAAAACTGAAGTCACCCCAGAGATTAACAGGTTCACTAAGGCATGGGAGAATATGAGAGAAATTGCTGGGAGTGTGTGGTCTGGTTAGAGAATGGAACTCCGAAGTTCAGAATCTTAAATTGAGAGGAGCCCTGAGTCATGATGCTGTCCCAGATGTAGCTGTGCCCATTGATGGCAGAAATCAAGTGGAGCTGGAGGTCATGAAAGTAATGAGCTCAGAAAGTTCCGAGAGGTCACAGTATTAGGTAATTAACGTGAAGATCGACAAGACCAAAGATGATGGCAGAGAACACAGTAGAGGGAGAGATTGGGCCAGATGAGCTAAGTTGGCCATTGAGGAAGAGTGACTTAGAAGTTACTAGGCAATAAGTATCAATGTTTCAGTCTGGCATTGCTTATAACATTGTTTCTATGTATTCTGAGTTACTTATTAATTTTTGGAATTTGGGCACAGATTAGGGACTACCTGTTTGTAATACTTTAACTTTTTTTTTCCCCCTCTTGGTATCTATATAACAACAAGTAATAGCTAACAGTTATATAGCTCTTACTATGTGCCACACACAGAGTCATAAGCACTTTACAGTAATTATCTCATTTGATCCTAACAACAACCCTAGGAGGTTATTATTCCCATTTTACAGTAGAGGAAACTGAGGCAAACAGGTTAAGTGACTTGTCCAGGATCATACAGCTAGCAAGTGTCTGAAAAGATGGCCAGAGCTTAAACATTTTATTATTTTTTTTCTTTTTGGCTAGGCAATGGGGTTAAGTGACTTGCCCAGGGTCACACAGCTGGTAAGTGTTATGTGTCTGAGGCTGGATTTGAACTCAGGTCCTCCTGAATCCAGGGCTGGTGCTGTATCCACTACACCACCTAGCTGCCCCCATTATTATTTTTTTCAAACCTCATAATCCTTTCTCCCTTTCCCACCTCACCCCTATTTTTCAAAAGGAAAAAAAAATTCTAAGGAAAGATGTTTTTTCCCAAATCTTTTTGTTCTCTTGATTTGGTCTGGGCTTCCACATCACAGGTAGAGTACTTTAAATTCCTCCTCTAGCTCTAAATTTTGAGAAGCCTTACCTGGAAGAACACAGTTCAGGACCACATCATTAATTCATCTACTTTGTCGCAGAGTACCTTTGTTGTTACTTGTGGGTGCCAAGTTTTCTCTCTTTGTTAACTGTGAAAAGAAGGCACATCCATGTTGGTTGAGGGATTAGGATTCTGTTAAAGTATTCTCATGTGAGGCTGTATCTTGAATGGCCCTCTGCTGTGGGTAAAGGTTGAGGGAGTCCTGAGTCCAATCTTTATGGCCCTTCCTATTGACTTTCTCTTGAGCCTTGGTAAATGACATAACCATTGCTGTCCACAGGCAGTGAAGTAAGTGTAAGGAAGCTCTGTGAACTGCAGCCTGGGGAGAAATGTTGTGTGGTGGGGACTCTCTTCAAGTCCATGCAGCTGCAGCCTTCCATCCTTCGGGAAATCAGTGAAGAGGTGAGCTTTTTACCTCATAGCCACAAAGTTAACCTCTCTACTATGCTCTTGGGAAGGGAAAGCTAAAGCTGGAAGAATCTGGTTGGGGGATTAGAAGAAGGAGAATGCCATAGGTTTGAAGAACACTACAGAAGGTTGTTCCTGGAAAGATATGTTCAAGTACAAATCCAGCCAGCATTACCCCATGGAGCCCAAATGTGGAGGCCCTTTAGCCCTTTGGACTCTGCAAGTCAGGCTTTATGCATGGACACAGGAAGAATAGGACTGGCATTTGAAGGAGCAGTAGGCCCCTTGAATACAGGAAGAAAGGAACAAGGCTAAGTATGAAAGCTAAGTGGGCTGTTATATTGGAGAAATTGTAAGAAACTTGAGCTGTAGGAACTTTGATCCTAAAAAAACCCTCTGTTTTGATATTCCAGCATAATTTACTGCCCCAGCCTCCTCGGAGCAAATATATTCACCCAGACGATGAGCTGATTCTGGAAGATGAGTTACAACGCATCAAACTGGAAGGCACTATTGATGTGTCCAGATTGGTAACAGGTACATGGTACAAGGGCATGGAGCCGCTAGGTGGCGCCATAGTGCACGGAGCACCAGGCCTGGAGTCAGAAAGACTCATCTTCCTGAGTTCAAATGCGGCCTCAGACACTTACGCGTTGTGTGACCCTGGGCAAGTCACTTAACCCTCAGTTTCCTCATTTGTAAAATGAGCTGGAGAAGGAAATGGCAAGCCATTCCAGTATCTTTATTAAGAAAACTCCAAATGGGGTCACAGGGAGTTGGACATGATTAAACACAACTCAACAACAATAAACATGGTGCAAGTGTGTGCTTATTTACTTGCACTCATGGAGGGAATGGATGTTACGATTAGACCTAGTTGGGGCACATGCTACCCATCTCCTGATAGACCGGTAAGAGACTCAGAGTGCAACATGAGATATATATTTTTTGGACTTGGCCAATACTGAAATTTGTTTTGCTTTACTATACATGTTTGGAACAAGAGTTTTGTTTTCATTCTCAGTTAGGGAGGAGGGAAGAGAAATTTAGGGTGAATTTAGAAATTTTAGAAGAGAAGGTAGATTTTTGTGGATTGATTAAAAATCCTAAATACACACCTGTAAGGTGCAAGGAAGATGTAGATGGGTATGGATGAAGAAGGAGGCTACTCTCTTCTGTCCAGTGGGAGCATCACCAAGAAAGCTACAACTTGGTTTGAGTTTCCAGTGGAGAGCCCCTCACCCTAAGGGGTGGAGGATGATTAGGGGTTAGTATAGTCTTGACAATTTGGGGATCTGAATTTAATGAGCACTTCCTTGCTATGCTGCTGTTTGACAAGAAGAAGGTGACTATGCCATTAGGCTCTTCCATTTAACTCTGGAACTCTGATCTACCCTGCTCTTCAGGAATAGTGCTGGCAGTGTTGGGCTCTGTGCAAGATGATGGCAAGTTCCTGGTGGAGGATCATTGCTTCGCAGACCTGCCACCCCAGAAACCTATGACAGTACCTGATGCAGACAGGTGAGGTTTTAATGCTTTAACATTTGCTTTTAGTTGCAGCTCTTGGCTATCTTTTGACTCAAAACTGTGCTGTGCCTTTTAACTTGACTGCTGCCTCAGGGGCTATAAAGTCTCATTTCATAGTACCAAGAACATCAAATGCCTTGTTTTCCTGAAACACTCATCTGCAGTGAGTTTGGAAATTTCCCTTGAAATTCTGCTGAGGCCACCTTCTTTAATTTTAGGGGCCACCCAGAAGAGTACTAGCACCAGCTTAACCTTAGGAAACTACTGACCTTCTCCTGCAGGTTTGTGCTGCTGGTATCTGGACTGGGCCTGGGTGGATGCAGTGGTGAGAGCCTGCTGGGGACCCAGTTGATGGTGGATGTAGTGACAGGACAGCTAGGCGATGAAGGAGAACAGAGCAGCGCCGCCCGCATCTCTCGTGTCATTCTTGCTGGGAACTTACTCAGTCAGAACACCCAGAGCAGAGACTCCATCAGTAAGGTATGGATTCTACCTGTTTGAATTCTCCCTGGACCCTCTCCTGAAGAGAGGTCTGGTATTCCCTGCAAATTCTTATCTTATGCTTTGGCAGGGGTCAGGGGGATGGAGGGGATTTCTGTGGTGAGTGAGCTTCTTTGAAGAATTTGGAATTAAGAACTATACAGGTTCTAGTGATACATTTCCCAGAGTGGCTGCTGTACCTTCTTTGTTTGGATCCCCTTTTTGTTTATCCAGAGATTCTTTTTCCAGGATGCCTGGTGTTATTGTGTTATCAGGGAAATAGAGTATGTATGCAATAACGTAAATGCTTTCCTTTGTCAGCTCCTTAAATAGCTCAGGCAGTGAGACCTAGTTGTTTCTTTCTTTTTTTTTAAATATTTTATTTTTTCCCAATTACATATAAAAACAATTTTGAACATTCATTTTTAATAATTTTGAGTTCCAAATTCTCTCCCTCCCTCACCTACTCCCTTCCCTGATATAGTATGCAAATTGATATGATTCATACAGGTTTGCAATCATGCAGAGCATATTTTCACATTAGTCATGTTCTGAAAGAAGACAGAGACCAAAAAAAAAGTTTATGAAGAAAAAAAGTAAAAAATGGTATGCTTTGATCTATATTCAGACTCCATCAGTTCTTTCTCTGGAGATGGATGATGGGACTGATTTTTGACATAAGGCTCACTTCTCTACTTTGAAGAGAGAGGGCTAATGGGTGTAGGGATGGTGAAGTCGACGGCACAGGACTCTGGCTTTGTCCTTAGTTACTGGGTTCCATTCTGCACTTTCTAGCAGAGTGCAGTTAAGAGGCCTGAGTGACAGGCTCTGGGGAAAATTCTTTGATCCACACTTTCTTTGGGGACTGACATTGACTATGGGGATTTCTGCTTTCAGGCTAAATACCTAACTAAGAAAACACAGGCAGCTAGTGTGGAAGCCATCAAGATGCTGGATGAGATCCTACTACAACTAAGTGTAAGCATACCTGAGACTATAGTTACTGTTAGAAATCAATCCTTAGAACTGGAATTGAGCAACAAATGGTCTATAGTTGGTGGGAATTTGGAATTTGGGAATAAGGATTTGGGGTGAATATTGACAAACTTTTTTTCCTGTTCTCTGTTATGCTAGGCCTCAGTGCCTGTGGATGTGATGCCTGGTGAATTTGACCCAACAAACTACACGCTACCTCAACAGCCACTTCATCCTTGCATGTTCCCACTGGCTTCCTATTCCACACTGCAGCTGGTCACCAACCCCTACCAGGCCACCATTGATGGAGTCAGGTACTTCCGAGGTGGTTTGACTGAGCTGAAAACTTTTTCTAATTTTACTAGAGACTGAATCATTAGGGGAAGGTACATGTTTTAGTGGAAATTGCAGGTGGAGGTAGGAAGTGGTACTGGCGTTTGTAACTTTCTGATTTCAAGACTGGACCACATCAGTCACAAGAGTCCAAAATGACTTGGGTCTTTCAGGGATCATACAAGCCTGTAAGTGTCACATAGGACAGAATGTGGCTGTGTCATACCCAAGAACAGAGAAGGACTGTGTTAGAATAGAACCAGCTTAAAATTTGCTTTACAGGTTCCTGGGGACATCAGGACAGAATGTGAGTGACATTTTCCGGTACAGCAGTATGGAGGATCATCTGGAGATCCTAGAATGGACCCTACGGGTGGGCCACATCAGCCCCACTGCACCTGACACTCTTGGTAAGAGTGGATTGAGTCAGGTAGAGAGGATTGAGCACATTGGAAGGATTAGGAAGTGATTCTTTAGCATGGATTTATATTCCTTTTGTTCTTTATGATAGTGAACAGTAACTTTGTACGGTCCTACTTGAGTAGGAGATTTAGAACCAGAGCTGATTCCAGAAGTCAGTTCTGAGGACCCTCCGGTTTTTCTTGTATACAAAGGTCAGGAACTTGAGGCCCCTTAGAACTATAGATCTCTTCCCATCTGCCCCAGGGGCTCATACAATTGAAATCAAATGAAACGAGACAGTTTTTCTCTTTATGCCTTTTTGATCTTTTGACCGTTTGGTTTTTTATGTATTTTTCCCCTTCCAGGATGTTACCCCTTCTACAAAACAGACCCATTCATCTTCCCTGAGTGCCCCCATGTCTACTTCTGCGGCAACACTCCTAATTTCCGCTCCAAAATTATCAGAGGTTAGTTCCATCTATGCCAAGGGCACTAAAGGTCAGACCACTATATAAGGGGTATATCTTCATTTGGGACTAGTGTCTCATGTAGATTGGAACATATCATACACATACACACACAGATGGGATGGATTTCTAGCATTCTAGAACAGAGTGATATGGTGGATAGACTAGAGTTGGGAATCAGAAGACCTGGGCTCAAGTTTCAGCTCTGCCACCTAACAGCTGCATAGTCTTGGGCCAATCATTTAACCTCTCTGAACTCCCCTTCTTCCTCTGTAAAATTCATTAACATGTCTATTCTGCCTACCTCATAGAATTGTTATGAGGGTGAAATAAGATTATGGATGTGTTTAGTTTTACCAGCTAAAACACTATATAAATACAGGGTGGTAGTTTTTATTAATATTTGCTATCCTGGAACTAGCCCAAGCTCTTCTTTCTGGAGCCTTAGGGCTGAGAAGTTTTGGTAAAATGAAGGTGCTTTCAGTCAATTAGCTCACCAAGAATGTAGATGCTAATCTGGACCTATTTATTAAGACCTGAAAATGCCCAGGGCCCATTGCTAGGTAGTTTCCTTGATCTTTGAGAATTCTGACAGGTGATTATACATTATGTATTGTATGTATATGTTTTGTGCTGATTATATCATTAACTCAAAGTCCCCTGTCTGCTGTGGTTTCTCTGGAACTAGCATAGTTCCCAGTGGGCTCTGGGAGTCACATCTAAATATATCCTAATAGAAGGCATAGCTTAGCTCTTCCCTTAACGATTGCCTGCAAGGGTCTGCCTCCCTTTTCAGTGCCCACTGAAATGGTTCAGGGGTTTCAGATGAGTCCCCATTTCTCCTCCATTTGATCTCTGCAGGACCTGAGGAGCAAACTGTCCTGCTGGTTGCCGTTCCCAACTTCAGCACCACCCAGACTGCCTGCCTGGTGAACCTTCGAAACCTAGCCTGTCAGCCCATCAGCTTCTCTGGCTTCAGCGCTGAGGATGATGATGACCTGGGAGGAGGCCTGGACATGGGGTCCTGAGCTGGGAAGATGGAAACTGAATTCACAGATGAGCTGTGACAGTGATGTCACTTAGACTGAACTACACATAGAGAGAAGACCTGCATGATGCCAGGGAACTCATGTAAAGGTAGGGCCCGGAGCTAAAAGGTCATCAGGTTCTTTCATGCCAATGAATCTAGTATGTTTCAGGATTTTGGCAGCTTGTAACTTTGTAAATAAAACTTGGAAGATTTGCTTCCTGTCTATTATGCACACTTGTCTTAAGCTCTTGAGGGCAGATTCTGAAGTGGAGATTCAGATCTCCCTTTGGGCATAGTAGCTTCTCAAAAGGGAAAAAACGAGCCTTTGGGGGCAGATTATTGTGACTAAAGTGGGTTAAAGATTTTTCTCCATGGGCCTGCCTCTATAAAAGTATTCCCATCTCCTTCTCTGAGCCAGGCACAAAGGTAAGGCTGAGATGTTTGCCATCAGAGCTTATTTTATTGGTATAGCAGGATGGTAATGGGGGACGGGGAGGTAGCTCCATTCTTCTGCCTCTGCTTGCTCTGATCCCATCTCTCCCCACCCCTGCTAGACAACAGGAGTCCATATTCCACAGCTAAGACTGGGCTGGAGGCCAGATTACTGCCAGGGGAACTGGCAGACCTGCGGCCCCCTTGCCCATCATCTCTGGCACTCGGTAGATCTCAGTCACATTCTTTCCAGCCTAAAAATGGGGAGAGCCAGCACCCTGGGGAAGGGCTACTAGGAGAAAAATTGGGTGACTCCTAGCAGGGCCCGGACAGGGGCTCTGCCTTCTGCTCTCTGGAGGCTGCCGAGCTGGTTGTGGCAGCCAGCTCTGGGTCAGTGGGTGTGCTGCGCTGGGTAGGGGCAGTGGTAGAAGCCAGGCCCTCAGAAGTCCCCAAAGTTCACAGTATAGGTCTCGGCTGTGGTGACGGGGAAGGCTGTGCCTGTGGCCAGCTCTTCTTCTTCTGGCTCCAGCTCTGGTTCTAACTCTGTGGCCAGTTCAGTCACGACCTCTGTGTAGGTCTCAGTCTCTGTCTCTATCTCCCAGGTAGGAGCAGTGGGGGGTTGGAGGCTCCAGGGCTCCAGAGTGGTGCTCTGGGAGATGGGATAGGTAGGTGACAAGCTGGTGGTGGGCATCGGGGTGGTACTAGCTGTGGCATTAAGACGGCGGAGGCGCATCTGCTCCCGCATCTTGATGCGGTACATCATGCGACGGCGCTGCATGAAGCGCTCTCGGGGGGTCATGGGTCGAGAAGGATCAATGCGAGGGATGGGCCTGTTCCCATTCATTGCTAAGATCTCCCTGATGCGCTTCCAGTTGGAACGAGCCAGAATGAAGTTGCACTGGGTGGCGCCAATGTCATAGTCTACATTGCAGGTCTTGGCGCTGGGAGTATAGCCTTCTGCTCGGGCCGTCACACGGTATTCACCCGGGTTCAGGATGCGCCAGTAATCACCTCCAGCAGCTACAGAGAGGGACACAAGGACAAGTCAGGCAACTGTCACTGCATTCTACCTTCCCATGGTAGGGTTCCCAGAACCCCGAGCCCTTCCAGTGACCCCACTGGACTAGGTTTGTAGGTTAGCGGGATTACTCCAATCCCTATTTAGATAATATTGAAAAAAAAAGCTTTTCAAATTTAGACAGTGCAGAAGTAGTCACTTTTCCCCTTATTGGTGAGAACTTCAGAAATGGATAAGAGCTATACCTCCCTGAGAAAGACAGTCAGGAGTCGGGTTGCCACAGAGGGCAGAGGCAAAAAGGGCATCATATGCTCCACATACCTGTTTTGACACCGTGGTTAATGCCGCTCACAGAGATGGTGGCATTGGCAATGGGGATGCCTTGCTCATCTGTCACAACCCCTTTAATGCCTCGGTGCACCTGCAGGAAGGAGGCAGCTTTAGGCTTGGCCCTGAAGCTGCTGACTTGACTTTACTGCTTACTTTACTTTACATTCCTTTTGCTTAAGCTTCATGGCCCCGTGTACTGCTTGTATGGCCCTGAAGCCCTGGACCCTTCCACCCAGAGCTTGCTCCCAAGACTTCTCCCCTTGAAGTGTTCCCTTCCATCATCTACTCCATCCACTCTCTTCTCCCTTGGAGGCTTTTTCAGTGGGCCCACTCCAGCTTCCTTGCCCCACCTGCTCCATGAAGGTGAGCAGTGCTTCCTTGTTATTCTCCCATTCTCGAGGCAGTTCACTCTGATGAGGGAACTTGTCACATCCCAAGTAGATAGCGAGCTCCAGACAATTGGTGTGTAAGTAACTAAAGTCATTCATACCTGGGGATGGGGAGACAAAGAGACAGTGGTAACTTCCCAGTGACCTTGCTTCAAGTCTCAGCTCAGGGCTCGGGGACGCACTGCTTGCCCAGTGCTGACACTACTTGTGCACACAGACTTACAGTCAGGTGTTTAGGAACTCAGAGGTCAAGCTGAAGTAGCCAATGACCCGTGATAAGAAGCACATGTTGGCTTCAAGGATCCCTGCAGCCCTGACAAGAATCGATTTTTTTATCAGCCTTGGAGTGGAGGACAGGTGACACTTTGTATTAGAGAGTCTGGAACTTTGATGTGAATTAGGGTACTCCTGGAAGACTCTGGCTTTGGGAGAGAAGATTCCTTTGGAGTAACAAAGGATTGTCAGGGGTAGACGGGTAGCCCTCTAACCCACCCCTTCAGATAGGGAAAAGGCCTAGAACAGATTCCCTAATGTGGCCATGGAACTTGCCTGTCCTGTGCCAATTTAAAGCCATGTCTTTGGGACAGTGACTGTAGGTAATATAGTAAGGAATACGTTGGGGTCACATGTCCCCATACTCAGCCCCTCTTAGCTCTTTGTCACTGGAATTCACCCAAAGGTTTAATGTGAAATATTTTACAAGACCAAAATGAGGTTCTCTCCCATCAAGTGCTGGGGGTATCCAAGTCCCAGGATACCTATCTAGTTGAGGGATGTTGAGCTTGGAGTGGTGGGTGTAGGCCACAGGATAGTTTCTTTCTTTCTCAACCATACCTTACTCCCTCCTCCCCCTACCACATTCCTCACTCACTTCCTGCTCTGGGATTCCACTTGGCGCCATTGACGATGCCCATGCCATTTGTGTAGTCCTGTGCTTGGCAACCCCCACGGTAGGTTTCAGTCATGGTGAGGTGGGCTGAGGAATAGGCAATGGCAAGCCACCGGAAGATGGCATGGTCCGGTGTCTCCTGAATCTCATCTGTTTCATCCTCCTCCTCTCCACGGGCAGCTGCCATTGCTGCTGCCATGAGCTGTTCCTGGCTGGGGGCCCGAGTCATATCATAGGGATAGGACACCAGCCGTTCACCCCCATTCAGGTTAGCACCCAAGACGAAGGGATTTTTCTCCATCCAGGCAATGATGGCACGGACTTCTACGGCTATCTGTAGGGTACAGGGGGCAAGTGAAAGCAGGGATAGAGTGGTAGGGAGACGGTTCACAGGAGATCCTGCTACTAGCCATTATGACCTAGTTGTGTAGCAGAAACAAGCACAGGACATACCCCTTTTGATGTCTAACTTGTCCCCTTTGGTTCCCACAAAACTAAAGGGGGCAGCCTCTCAGTATCCCCACTGACACTGAGCCTGGAAACTTTGTACCATGGAACCAAGGCTGCTATTCCATCCCCTCCACCCTCAGATGGAGACTGGGGCAAGAATTGCTTGATGCCATGTCCCTGGCTCTGCTCTGCCCTGCAGGAGGTCCCCAGAGCCACCTTGTGGCACTCACCGTGGCATCAGCACCAAGGTAGCGGTCCGGGATGGGCAGGTTGTTGTTGGGCACTCGGTGGGGGACCCATTTCCTCTCCTCAGCACCCCACAGCACTGTGTTGATATCTGGGAAGTTCTCAGAGATATCGAAGCCCTCCTCAGTCCACAATCCCAAAGCCCAATTTCCAAATTCAGAGCCCTGAAAGGAACCAGCTTTGGTCAGTGACTACGATCCTTGCCTCTTGGTCCCTCTACCCCTAATCTTAACTCGTGCAATAGATATTGTCACACACACACACACACACACACACACACACACACACACACACACTCTCACTCCATAAGTGATTGACTCTTGACCCCCCCCAACCCCACCCACCATCTGGGCAGCAATCTCGTAGCCATCAGGATTGAGTGAGGGCACCAGGTGGATCCTAGTGTCATGCACGAGACTTCGTATCCGGGGGTTTCCATCTCGGTATTCCCGGCACATGTACTGCATTAGCAATAGCAGTAACTCCCGGCCCAGGACCTCATTTCCATGGATACCTGCTGTATAGCGGAACTCAGGCTCCCCTGTGGTAAACATGAAGAAAGGGAGATGGTCAGCAGAAGCACCAGCTTGAAAGGCAATATGGTACAGCAAAATAACAAACGAAAAAAGTGAAATTTAGAGTCCAAAATCCTGAGGTCGAATCCTGGGCTCTGCCACTCACTTGTGTCATCTTGAGCAAGTCATAACCTTTCTGAACCTGCCTCTTCTTCTGTAAAAATGGGAATGATAATTTCTGCCCTTCCTTCCTAATAGGCTCATGATGAGGATCAAATGAAAAGTATGAGAGAATGCTTTGTAAACCATCAGGCATTTTGTAAACATAGGGAGTTGTTTTAAGAGGTAGTGTGATTTAAGGGAAAATACCATGGATAACCCACTCTTCTACCCAAAGAGGGAGAGGGCTTGGGAACAACGTTTCATACATTATCAGAGGTGCTCACTGCACCATCTGTTTCAGCTTAATTTTGACTTTGTTATAAAAGAGGCTTTCCATTATTGGGGGGAACATGGTAGACAGAAAAAATGAGTGGAGCTGTTGATAAAAAAAAAAAAAGAAACACTTAGGGTCAGAGGCCCCCAGCTCTGCTATTGCTAGCTGTATGACTCTGGGCAAGTCACTTCACCTGAGCCTCAGTTTCCTCATGTGCAAAATCAGTATAATAGTTGTACTGCCTACCTCACAGGATTGTTGTGAACAAAGCACTTTGTAAACCATAAAGTCATGTGTGTGTGTATACACATGCATGTACATATATGCATATGTACACATATAGATGTAAATAAATATACAAGGTATCCGTAAAGTCTTAGTGCAGTTTGGGGACACCTATCTAGGGAGAGAAAGATAGAGAGGGAGTGAGTATACAAATATAGAAGGATATGTGAGGCAGTGTGGCGTAGTAGATACTTAATCTTGAGCCAATAAGACCTGAATTCAAATCCTCCCTCTGATA